TTCCCCTTGATCATGCCCTACCAGGTCTCCCACACCCACCTCCTCACCAATTTGGATCGCTTGTTGTTCCCTTGTCCCTGAGTTTGTTAACACCGCTTCCCTTCCCCCCACCTCCCCCTCTTCCATGTCCCCCTGGAACTGTCACTCCCATTTTTTTCTCCTCCAGATTATTCATCCAGCCTGTCCTATCCAGACAGACCTGTCTTGCTTTTTAACAGCACCAATACAATGGTTCCCTTGAATCTTTGTTTATACAATCTCATAGTTGAGAAATCCCTAAAGAAGTGATGTAATTCCCCCCACCCCACCCACCCCACTGCTCCCCAGGACCCAGCAAACTAGTTTATTTTGTTTTCATGGGAAGTAAAGAGAACGCAGTAGAAAAAAGTTTGTGTCCCCGTGTGTGACACCTTCTCAATCAGCTCTGGCTTGTGGTCTTTGGAGGACTACAAAGGGCATAAAGGCCCAACTGTTACACTTTACCTGCGTACCCAGCCACATCTTCCTCGCAACAGTTGATGGGCTCGAATGGCCAATGCTGTCTGTGGCAGCCAAGCATTTATCCACGTTTCATCACTCCTAACTACTAACTTGTGTGGTGCCCTCGAGTCAGAGGGACAACAGAAGGAACCACTGCCCGGTCCTAACCTCACAACTGTCCCTGTGCTTGAGCCTATTGTTGAAGTCACCGCGTCAACGCATCTTCTTGAGGGTCTTCCTTTTGCACTTCCCCTCTACTTTACCAAGCATGGAGTCCTTTTCCAGGGACTGGTCTTTCCTGACAACATCCCCTAAGCATGTAAGATGAAATCTCACCATCCTTGCCTCTAAGAAGAGCTTTGGGTGTACTTCTTCCAATACAATCGGGTTGTCCTTTTAGCAGTCCATGGTACTTTCAATATTCTTCTCCAGCACCACAATGAACGTAAAGAGCACACATTTAAGAAGATATGCTTAAGTTGGAAGTCTTGGCTGAAGGCATTAGCAAACACTTATGACTCTATTGCCTAAGTAATGCATTATTATAAATCAACAAATTTGCATATTCGTCAGCACAGATACAAGCACATTTTTTTGCTCTGACCACAGTGCAATGGATTCACGGGCATTTAAATGATCTTTGGGGGAAATGTTAACTTTGTAATCCATTTGGAAAATATTTGCTCAAAGAGGGGATTTTGACGACACCCGCCCCCCCACCCCCACCAAAGTTAACACCTAGAATAGTAATGGGCAAAATGAGGAACAGTAGACATGATAATATTAGGAAATCTTATATTGTTACTTTGAAAACTAAGGTGTACTTGACACAAGCCAAGGCATCTTCAATAACCCCATATGCATGTGAAAACTGGACACTGAATACAGAAGATTGAGAAGAATCAATGAAATTGAATCATGGTGCTGGTGAAGGATACTGAAAGTACTGTGGATTGCCAAAAGAACAAACAAATCTATCTTGGAAGAAGTACAGCGAGAGTGCTCTCTAGAGACAAGGACAGTGTGACTTTGTCTCAGGTACCCTGGACATGTTATCAGGAGAGACCAATCCCTGGAGAAGGACATCACGCTTGGTAAAATAGAGGTGCAGTGAAAAAGAGGAAGGCCTTTGATAAGTCAGGTTGACACATGACTGCAAAAATGGGCTTGACAACAACAACGGCCATCTATACCCCCCCACCTTGTTCTATCAATTATTACTCACACAATTTTAATAATAACCCCTGGATATCGTAAGATGCTCAGCTACCTCGAAATCTACTGGCAAAGACTGAAATGCCATCAAAGAATTTTAGTTAGGGTTATGCTTATTGGCTCCAATCTATTTAATATGATCAATACACATATTGTCTATTTCATATCATTTTATTCTCTTGCCTACTCAATCCCAAAGCCACCACGAGGCCCCCCGTGATGTCAACAGTGTGAAAGGCCCTGGATCAGAATCCTTGGTCAGCACACTGGCTTCCATGCTGGTTAGTGGATCACTGATCTTGAGAATCAATCAAGGTGATAACAAGATCTCTGACCTGTGACCAGCTCCCGAATCTCCAGGTCTGTAGTCTTTCGGAGCAGCCGCACCAGCGCTGGGATGCCACCGCAGTTCTTCAGGGCGATTTTATTATCATCATTGGCCTTTCCATACACCAAGTTCCGCAGAGCTCCACAGGCACTACGGTGCACCTCCGTCATCCGGTGATCCAACAGATCCACCAGGAGCTGGATGCCCCCTTGTCGCCTTATCTGAAAGAGCGAGGACACCGTTTCGGCTTTAGAGGGAAAAGAACAAATAAACTAGGGTTAAAAAACCAACCAAACAAATAAGTACAATGCTCCTTAGCGGTAAGGATGCGGTTCACATATTTTGGACACACCATTCGGAAAGGCCAATCCCTAGAAAAAGGCGAGTGCACCTTGTAAAACAGAGGGTGGGTGATGAGGGGAACTTCCGATAAGAAAGATGAACACAGAATGTGTCAGGCGCATTGCGATGCTGGCTAAGACGGTACCAGGCAACATACTGGCCTATGAAATGGAAGTTTGAATGAGCCCAAATCGATTTAATGGCAACGCACATCAACATGCACTGGGTACATCTTCTGCACGAGACCTATTTAAAGTGCTGGAGGGAAAAAAGGATGTTGTTTTGAGGACTAAGGTGTACCTGACCAAGCCATAGTATTTTTTAAAATCATTTTAT